TTGAAGAACATTGGTGTTGGAGACTCTGTCCTGCCATTTGATCTGAAGGAGACCACCCTATTAGGCCACCCTATTAGGCGGCCAGTAATCAAAGTGCGTCCAACAAGGGCTTTAATTTCTATTGTTTATAACTCTATTAAACGGCCACCCCCTTTCAGCAGCCATTTCCCCAAGGGTGGCCGTTTAATAGGGGCTGAACTGTATTCAACTCTCAAAGGAAACAAAAAAGATTTCATATCAGTGGGAGTTGAAAATAAATGACTAGTAAATGACTGATGGGGAAACCCAAGGGAATGGTTTTGAGTTCAAAATAATGAGGAATTAGAAACAACCAAGTTGGAGTTAGCAGGGTGGCAATATTGCAAAAGCATCACCTCCCAGAAATTTACTTTACCCAACATTATAACCTGCAGTATATCACCCATGTTTTGTTGATGCAAAAAGAAAAGCACTTTTGAATGATTACACCTTATGAAATGCTACATGAGGTATTAAATGCTGACCATTAATGAAAGTGTTCGCATGGAGAGGTAATGAAAAGGTACAGAAAACTAGTTAAAGGTACAAAATTTAGCTAGCACCCCCAGACAGAAATTTTCACTGTTTCCAGAGCTAATGAAAAGCCCTGTCCATTGTAACAAGCTAAATGAATGTCTCCATACTGTAGGAGGCTAACCAATCTATCAAAATGTTATGTTCAAAACTAGAAGATAACATAACCTAGAAATTTGAAGACAATCACTTATAAGTGATTACCAGAACCAATACTGTCTTGTATGTAATACAGTCTTGAACCATCCCTTCACACATACAATGTGTCCAGAGGGCTGATTTAGCCACAACCCTCTAAATGCATTGTAGGTCTATGATGCTAGTCAATACTATTGTCTATTCAGTTTAATATATTGTTCGATCAGCAATCTGTTGAATTTAAACATATTCCTATCTTGGGGTTTCTCCTTAAGAAGTTGATATTTTTTAATATAAAGTTTTGTATCTTTTTTTTTTCCAGTTCTTTGTAATTTAGAACATCTTTACAATCCAGCAATTGCAATTCCTTTCCTGTCATACTCGTTACTCTCCAGCGTCTTCAGCATAAAGTCTGCCACATCTGCAACCGTAATCTTGTTTGTTGTTCCAGTGTTGCACTGCCCTTCTTCAGTCTTATAGTTTCCTGTCTTTTCACGTGAAAGTAACAAGCCGTGTTAGCATCTGTAAGCATACCACCTTCTCTTCACAGAATATTGATTTAAAGTATTTTTTTATTTCCATTGATAATAATTGGTAACAAGGTTCTTCAAGGTATTTTATTTTATATACAATGAGAGAAAATTAACAGTACAACATTTTCATTAACATTCACTTACTAAGAAACTTATAAAGTATAAGTATCAGATGTGGCTTGTAGTGTAGTGCAGTGCAGTGCAGTGTTTAATGGGTCAGTGTTAAGTGTACAGTTTGTGATGTGTACTGAAAAATGGTCTCAGAAGTGTGTTTTTTTTGTTGCGTGTCAAGTGTAGCATCTAGAGTGCAATGTTTAGAGTGTATTTTGCTTTGTAGCAGGTAGCAAGTACTGTAGGGTGCAATAGTGTGTCTGTAGTTAGTGCAGGTGTGTGCAATGTGGGGTGTGGCGATAGGTGAGGTCTGAAACTGCTCAAACTGTTGGTTGTGGTTAGGCCGTACCCTCAGCAGCAAAGAATATTGTTAAGATATCTCAACAATAGGATTACCTACCTACAAGTAGATGACATGGCCTAACAATAGTATAATTCAAAAGCTCAGGCTCACTGCTCTCCAGCATTTTTTCCATAGTTGCCACGTCCTTGATCACTCCATTAAGAAACAGTGGTTTAATAATCCACTCTAGCAGCCAACGATTGTTTGGCCCTGGCTGAGTACACCATGATGTTACAGTCACTAGCCGAACAATCCTGTGCCTAGGTAAATAAACTAATAACTAATGAACTGTTCCTCATGATAAGCAATGTAACAAAACAATTATAATGTTTCACCTTAAGAACATTTATTTATTAATCATAAAGTAGATGCTGTAGCTTAAGCAGAATATAGTATGCAAATACTGCCAATGGCCAGGTCCAAGAAAGAATGCCTCATCAAGTGTTTCTGTGCAAACTATAGACAAATTCACAACTTGAATACTACAAACAGCCTGGATCAAATCAAGTTGTCACTCAATGTAATGAACTTTTGCTTGGCACAACTCTTGTAACCTTAATAGAGGCTTTAAGCTTATCTTGAAAAAAATGTTGGCACTGAAAAGTTTAAGAGGGGCTAAAGACCCCATCTGGGACCATACTCACACAGTGAAATTTTGCAGAAGTTAAGTTTCTTTGTAAGTTGTATTTTTCTGTGGTTCTTGACAACTGCACATATTTATAATTTAAGATTTTAAAATTTACATTAAATTAACTGGCATTCCAA